CAAAAAGGAATTTCGTAAACTGCACTTACGGTGGCATCATGCGAAGGAACCCAAGATGAGGCTGATCCTAGACAAAGTGGGACTGGATAGCGTTCGATTAAATATGATCGAAGAAATTTGTGACACATGTCGGGAATGTAGAGCATGGGAACGTCCAGGTAATTCTACGCTACCTTCCGTAAGCCTTCCTGGAAATTTGCTCGACGAAGGCGAAGTAGATGTCATGTTTTACAAGAAACGAACCATATTTCATATTATGGACGGATGTTTCCGCCTGGCAGCAGGCCAAGACATCTCTGATAGAGAACGTGACATTATACTCGATGCCTACCACTACTGCTGGATTGCCTATCATGGGCCCTTCAAAGTCTTGTATTCGGATGGAGCAGGCGCCCTCAACAATGACACTGCCAAGGGCATGATGGCGAACAAGGGTACGACACTTCGTATCCGAGCGCCTGGCCAACGCGCGACCTCGATCGAGTCGCGCAGCGGCATTCTTAGGGGTACTCTCCATATGACTGAGGAAGAGCTGAACAGACACAACATCCCCGTTGTATTTACTAGAGTATTGGCTGAAGGCATCTTCGTCACCAACGCTTTCACGTTTTACAACGGAGTATCGCCGTACCAGGCACACACCGGGCGACAGCCGTCTTTTCTTCCCGACCTCGACACCCTTGACTTCCCTAAGGGACCCGAGACGTCAGGCCACGAACGAGAACGCCGCGTGAGGGCAGTTCGCCTGGAAGCAATAACTCAAGCCACGGCGGTAGCTAAGACAAATCCTGCCCTCAGGGCTAAGACGGCCCCAGATGGTGCTCGCCTTTACTCAGCAGGGGACTTGGTCGACGATCACCGACCTACAGCCACTAAGGACGACCGTGGAGGCTGGAATGGCCCGTTTCCTGTGGTCCGTAACGTGCCCGAACGAGGACACGTCGTCGTCAAGGCAGGATCGCGTGAGGTAATTGTACTGTACCCTGATGCTCGCCACACGCTATACATTGAATGCCTTCTTACCAGGGAACTTGGCATGGACAACGTGGCCATGCAAACCGTCCTTACATATGCGGCACACCTTGTTGCAGGGAAACCTGCCAAAGTCTTTGGCTATATTCCAGACTACAAGGCAAACCTCAATCTTTCGGACGACAGCAAGTTCCACCCGCGCGCGCACCTTGCTTTGCAGTATCTCGTGCGAAAGTATTTCCGAGTTGAACGTGTAGTAGCCGTGCGATTGGCCAAGAACGTGCCAAATCTACCTGCAGTAAAGTACGCCATCGGGTCTACACTCATCCACTACGACAACGATGTGAACCCAGCCTTCCACTATTACGAGTGTGTGGGCACCGGCCTGAACATCTCGCAAATCAGTGGTAGCGCTCACTCCAGACTCATCCAGTGCCTGACGTCACAAGTTCCTTCCCTCGGATTTCATGACGACCTTGCCAAGTATCAGCACTTGGGCACAACGTCTGGAGAACACGACCAGCCTGGAGACAGGCCTCCACCAGACACCCCAGGTGCTTCATCACCAAGTGAAGGTCGCCTGTCTACAATCTACGAAGAAAGCGAGGAACATGACATCGAGGCTATGATGATGGAGGAGTGGTACGGTGAGTTACGTATGGACCTTCATCCCACAACGGTTATCGACGACCATCTCTACTGCGTCCCAACAACTATGCTGCCCGACCAATGTGTCTTGGTCTCAGCATCCGTGGACGAGGAAGATACCGTAGTGTCGGAGAATCTCGGAGACGAGCCTGAACTACAAGAGCCCTGTCTTATCTCTCTATGCTCGACTTCACCTGACGAGGGCTATTCTCTTGACAGTGATGAACATGGTCCTTATGTAGAGCTATGTTTCACACCAGAAATGTCAAAAGTAGTGTTGGATCAGACCCAACTTGCACATATTGAAACTGACATGGTCGCAACGATGAGAGTATATGTATCATCGGCTGCTAAACGTGCTGTGGTAGTTAAGGAGGACGACCTACTCACCAAAGCCGATATAGCAGCACATCCTAAAGAGGTTAGTGAAGCTTTGCACACCGAACTCAAGATCCGGATTGACAACCGGTGCTTTGAGATGTATGACCTATCTAGAGCTTCCAACATCATGACATCCAGATGCATATGCAAGTGGAAGTTTGTGAAAGTAGGCACCGAGAACGTTAAAACCATCCGTCTCAGACTTGTCCTTCGCGGATTCATGGACACGGAGGCGTTCGATGTAGAAACCTTCTCAGGAATTGCTCGAAGACAGTCCAAGAGGCCCCTGGCAAGTGAGGCGGCATGTCATCCATAATGGATCTTAGCATCTATGGACATCGACAAAGCGTTCCTCAAAGGTCTGACCTACGAGGAACTTGCTCATGCCACCGGCGAGGAAACTCGCATGTCTTGCTTCACTCTTCCACCAGGAAGTGCCCAGGTGCTTCGTACACTACCAGGCTTCTCTTCTGAAGATGAAAGCCGGCACTGCCTCAGGCGCCTCAAGCCAGGAACGGGTACAAAGGACGCCCCAAGAGCGTTCTCCCTCAAGCGTCGTACGACTACACGAGCTATAGGCCTAACACCGACAAGTTACGATCCTGAATATGAATTCAGTCAGAATCTGTTAACGGCAGAACATGCCGACGATATCAATATGACAGGCCTAAAGAAAAACGTAGATGACGATGTACAACGTGTCGAAAAGGTGTTTGGTAAATACAAGCTCGACAAACACTATTATACGAACTGCGCCATTCGCTACACTAAGAATGAACAGGGGGATGTGATCATGGATCAGGACGAGTACATTAAACAACTACGTCCTATCACACACCCGGAACTTACGGGAGCGGCGACAGACGCCAAAGCTACCAAACTCATCGCCGACATGTTCGTTAGCCTGCGAGGAGCTTTCGCCTATGCCATTATTACTCAAGTCTGGCTTATGGTGTATGTGGTCTCTCTCCAGAAGATCCAAGAGCCCGCCAACTTACAAGTCAGACGACTGAATGCTGTGACGCGAAAGCTGATCAGCAGCCCGAAACGCATCGCCTTCCCTCGGATGAAACCGACGAATGAAGTAGACATGCGCAGTGATTCGGGGTATCGGAAGCTCACCGGGGAGGAGGGCGATGAAACCAAGGGCTACGGCATTCGTGGGGCTAACGTATTACGGCGAGGAAACTCGCCTCAAGGCAAATCCGTCATGCACCATTGCGACGGACTATGTCAATCACACCGACTGCAGGTGAGGTCCAGCTATGCCGCTGAGGCACTTGCAGCTGCACGCAATCCTGATGAATGTTATCCCACGCTCATCACTCTCCACGAGCTCAAGGCAGGGGCACTTACTCCACGACAACTACGAGATATGCGTGAAGTTGGAGGCCTGGCTATCAAAGTATCCCTTACTATAGACGCTGAGTCTGTATACACATCGCTATCCAGCAAAGATCTTAAGACACCGGCGGAACGGACTTTGCTGGGACATATCAGCTGGATACGTGAGCTCATGGATATAGGAATAGTGCATAACGTACAGTGGTGTGATACTAGAGACATGTCCGCAGATGAGCATACAAAGGGGAGTATCGATCGGGAGCTGCTTTTGGAAGTGATGTCAGGCACTCAGTCATTTAAGTATGACGTGAAGCAGTTTGTTCCCTTTCGTGGTCCTGAGGACAGAAGTAAGCCTAAGTCGAATCAGTTTTAGTCTGTCCTTGTTGCCCCCGCGGTCCAGTTTGCCAGCACGGGCGCCTAATACAGAGGCGCCCTCCTAGCCGCTCGGAAACGAGCCCTACTTTTCACGCTTGGCAACGAGCCTGTTCAGATTGGTTCAGGCTCTTTGCTTGAATACCTTTTTGCTTGGAGGGAATAACCTGTTTGGCTTACCTCTAGCCGGGCCGATAGCCCTTTGATTTCCACGGGGCTATCCTGCGTATGCGTGAGAACGTTTTGCGAGGAAACTCGCCGGCGAATAATCTCGCCCTTCAATCTGGTGTTAGGCCAGACTGTGCGTACTGTTTTTTCTTGCAAGCAGTTGTGCGCGCGGCCTTTCTAGAGCCTAACGGCTGCGCGGCTATACTCTCCGTCTCCTCCCCTCCCGACTTTAAGGGTAGCTCTTTGGGAGATGTTATAGAGGATCGGGAGTGTAGCCTGCGCGCCGCTGCCTTTGTCTCAAGGCACGCGCGCCCTATTTGCCCGGACACTGCTGGCGTTCGCTATGCGCTGGAAAGATCACTACATCGATCTTATCCTATCTTATCCATCCACTCCCCATACTGAAGTAACACAGCATGGAATTGGATGCTATTTGACTTACCAGAGTCATTTCAGACTCCCCCTCCCTCCTCCCTCCACCTCCTCCTCCACCTCCTCCTCCTCCTCCTCCTCCCCCTCCTCCTTCCTCCCTCCCTCCCTCCTCCCTCCTCCTCCCTCCTCCCTCCTCCTCCTCCCCTCCTCTCCTTCCTCCTCCTCCCTCCCTCCTCCCTCCTCCCTCCTCTCCTTCCCTCTCCTCCCTCTCCCTCCCCTCCCCTCCTCCCCTCCTCCTCCTCCTCCTCCTCCTCCTCCTCCTCCTCCTCCTCCTCCTCCTCCTCCTCCTCCTCCCCCATCGTCCTCCTCCGCGGCGTCGGATCGTTCCCGGACGGCCTCCACACGCGTCAGGCCGTTCACTCGGCGCCTCCGGCGGCCCAAATGGCCTCCCACACGCCCCGAGAGGGCGGAGGCCCTCCAAGGCGGCTCCGACAGGCCAAGATCATACATGTTCCCTCCTCCTCCGCCCCCCCCCCTCCTCCTCCCCCTCCCTCCTGCCTCCTCCCTCCTCCCCCTCCCTCCTGTTTGGAGGTTTGGAGGGTTCTCGCCTTTTCGGGTTTCCGAAGGCCCAAGACGGCTCAAGAGGCGCCACGAGTCGCCCAAACAATAGCCCTAAAAGGCCCTAGGGGAACCCTGGAAGGCCGAAGCGAGAAACAAGCCCGAGAGCGCGCCACAACGGGCCAGGAGGCGTCCGAAGCGGCCCAAGAGGGCCCCCGCAACCATTCTGGCTCGAGCCATCTCGGCGAACTTGGTTTGGAGATCGCGAGAGGCGCCCGCATGGGCGCTCGAGCTGCCGACCGGGTGCTGAGTGCGAGGTCGGGGTGGTCGATGACTTCCAGCGAGGTGTACCGCGCGCAGGGCGGCGAGGCGGGGGACGCCGCTGCGGAGGAGCTCTCGGGGTGGCTCTCGCAGGCGCTCGCCGAGGAGAGGCAGGCCCTCCGCTCCGCCCTGGAGAGGATCTTCGAGCACCAAAGGGCCCCTTAACCCTGACAACATGATGAAGACGTGGCCTCACTGAGGTCCCCGTCTTCGCATTAGGAATCTCACATCGGTGCGAAGTGGTCTGATACATCTGCAGAAACGGCCCCCCATGACTGATGCTTTTGGCCCCCCTATAGCGTCGGTCCACTCCCAATGGGTTAGGAGTCCCGTTTGGATGATCAGAGGAGCCATTGGGAGAGCCGGGCCGCGCTGGACGAGGAGCTGGGCAGGAGACACAGGGCGTTGACCGCGCAGTTGCGGCAGCGGTGCCAGGCACAGCAGGAGTGCGGAGGCCCCGACTGCCTCCCCGGCGTGCCGTTGGAGGGCAAGGCTCGGTGACACGCGCGAGTGACCCTTCGCCGGAGTGACCTTTGGTGCTGGCCCAAAGGGGGTTGGGTGATTCCCCAATCTTTGGACGCCCAAAAGGGGTACGGAAAGAATGGGTACGATGCCCAACAGCAGTTCCTGTTCATTTTGAACAGGACTCGCTGTCCGCGCCGCCGCGGCTTGTGTTCATTTGAGACAGAAGGCCGCCCGCCCAACAGCGGCCGCTGTTGGTTTGGGACAACATTTGCTGTTGGGCATTGTACCCATTTTTTCGGTACCCATTTCGGGCGTCCAAGCAATCAGTGCTTCCACTGAAGGGGTCTTAGCGGAGGTTGACAGATTTGGCGAAAGTTCCCGCCGATGTTGGTAGCAGGCTGGGTTCCCGGGTTCCCGGTTCCAGGTTCCCAGGTTCCCGGTTATTGGTTCCGGGCCGATGTCGGTGGGTTTTGGGTTCCAGGGCTCCCGGGTTCCCGGTCGATCTCCTCAGCTAAAACCATTCATTGATAAGGGTTTTTCTCTGTGGTCATTTTTCTTGTGGGGTGAGCTTGACCTCGCGTCGGCACCCGCATCCTGTGATTACGCCTGCATCTGAGCGCGCCAGGGTTGGGCCCGCCCTTTGCAATCAACAGCAACGCATACGCATCGCACCCTGCCGCTTGCATTGGTTACCCGAGGGGGAGCCGGTCACCAGACGGCGCGTTGTCCAGCCCAGGACCAATCCCGAATCCCAGCCTAAATCCCAAATCGTCTGGCTTGAACGTCTTGGGATATTTTCGGATATCTTTGATTATCTTTGAATATCTTTGAGTATATTTGAATATGTTTTGCGAACCAATGGGGGTCTTCATTCTAAAAAGTTATCCAAACATATTATTCAAACATATTCCAGGCTCTCGGATGGGGCCGGTTTTGGCCATGACGCCGGGCCTGATCAGACGTCATCGCGATGCAGCCCGGCATTGCCAGACCTCATCGCGGTGGCCCCCTGGCAGCGTCTGCTTTCGAAGCGCCTTCGAAGTGCCATTCGGGGCGCTCGAATTCAATCGGCGGAATTCCGCGGTGGCCCGCTGGTTCAAAAAATCTTTGGAGTGGCGCCCTGCCGATGGTTGCTGCAGCGCGGCAACGCCGGCTTGCGCGACTGCGTTGGGCCCCCACGGGCGCCCCTGAAGCCGCGCACCAAAGGTCATTCCAGCCCCGGGTCACTCCTACGTGTAGTCGAAAGGCAGATGGTTGGGCGAGCCACACGACGACCAGCTGCACGCCGCCCCCTTCGAATCAGACCGTGGTGGTGCTGCAAGAGTTCGCTGGTGACCGCGCCGCGTCCGCTGCTGACGTCGTGGACAAAAAGGGTTACCCAGATGCCACGTTCAGTGTGGATGGTCTCGAGCAAGGCAGTCGTTCACCCACAAGGTCAATTAGCACACAGAACGTGCAGAAGCGAGTTAACACGGTGCTCTTCAACGAAAAGGACGGCGACGTTCAACAGAAAGGACGGTGGGTGGAATTCGTCGAAGGCGCTTTCTTTGAAACTTCCATGGCCGTCCTCATCATGTTGAATGGCTTGCAAATGGCCTTCGAGGTGCAACATGCAGGGCTCATTCGCGGGCATGCCCTGGAATACCGCGATTATGCCCACAACCCAAATCCTTGGCAGGGGGCAGAGCATCTTTGGGAGGCACTCGGCATATTCTTTGGTATCGCCTTCACATTCGAGGTGTCCCTCAAGATCGTCGTCTTGCGCTGCAAGTTCTTCAAGTCCTGCTGGAACTTATTCGACCTCTTCGTGGTTCTCTGCTTCCTCGTCGAGTCGTCGGCCGTGGTGCAGGGGGGCTTGGGGGAAACGACCGCCCTCCGACTGGCCCGGCTGGCCCGCTTGTTGCGCTTGGTGCGCGTGGTCAGGAAGATGCATGGCTTCGACACGCTGCTTCTTATGACCACCGCGCTCCAAAGCAGCTTCTACGTCCTTGCCTGGTCCTGCATGCTGCTCTTCATAATCCAAGCGATGGTCGCCTTCTCTATCAACCAGATCCTAGAAGAGTTTTATTACGGTGACCACCACCCGCTGGAGGAGCAGGAGGAGGTGTTCGAATACTTTGGGAGCTTCTCCCGGGCGCTGCTTAGCACCTTCGAAATGACGTTGGCGAACTGGCCGCCAGTGTGCCGATTGTTGATGGAGAACGTGAGCGAGTGGTTCATGGTGATTTGTCTGCTCCACAAGCTCACAGTTGGCTTCGCCGTCATCGGAATCATCAATGGCGTCTTCATTCAGGAAACATTCAGGACTGCTGCCGAGGACGATTTCATCATGATGCACCAGAAGGAGTCGTCGACGCGAACTCACAAAATCAAGATGCGGAAGCTTTTCGAAGCCGGGGACACGTCTGGCGATGGTAAGTTGGACAAGGAAGAGTTCTTGGAATTGACGCAGAATAGTGAGGTCAAGATGTGGCTGTCGTCCATGGGGCTCGACGCTTCAGACGGGGAAGCACTGTATGATTTCATGGATACTGACAAGAACGGCGACGTGAGCGTCAAGGAGCTGATCGACGGGGTGTCGAAGTTGAAGGGGGCGGCGAGGAGCCTGGACCTGCACATGTGCCTGAAGAGGCAGGACGAGCTGCACCAGGCTCTGCGGAGCATGCACCCGGAGATTGGGCAGCGCCTGAAGGATCGTTGACGTGGGCGGGTTTTCGCGAGCGATCGTGCATTTGCAGATTGAGGTGCTTCTGCCTCAGCCCCTGAGCCTCAGAGCCCGTGCACGGTGATCTCAGACGCCTGCGAAGCTGAGGGTGTCAATCCGTTGGATCACCACCAGCTGTGGCTGCCTGACGCGCCACGCAGGCGGACCATCCCGCAGAAGCCTTGCAGGATGACCAGGATGCACGACTGCCGTCTCTTTTCAGGCCTTCCTCCCTTTCTTCCTGCTCCCTTTTCTCCTCATAGCTTGCGTCGGCGTTTCGTATCGTATCCCCCTCTCCTGTCATCTTTGTTACAGAATGCGCAGCGAATTGGCCCGGCAATCACGCCAATGTGCGTGCATCAATCAAGCGATCAGGTTATTGCGTCATCGGACCTTTTCCGCTCCGACTCATCCCTCCTTCTCTTTGCGCCCTTCCGCCCTCTTTTCCCTGGGCTTTGTGCGGACTTTTCACGGCATACCTCTGGCCTCGCACGGGAGAGCCTCAGGATGGGTCAGTTGTGGCATCGCGGTAGTTGCCTTCGCCGAGACGGTCTCCCGTTGCGCGCACGGCGCTTCCAGCAAGTGCGTGCCCTGCTTTTCCTGCTCCTCATCACCCTCGGCTCCATCAGTCTTTACGTTGCATCTTCGGGGGACCTGGCCTGTCCCCAAAATTTGCGTCTCTTCTTGTACCCGACACGGGCTCGAGGCGGACTCGACGCGGATTTGGTGTGGATTCGACGCGGATTCGACACGGATTCGATACGGATCCGACGAGTCCGACATGGATTCGACACGGATTCGACGCGGATAAGGCCGCGACGGGACAGAAAAGGACCCCCGAGGATGCAACATAAGAGTGCTCAATCGGTCAGACGTGGGCCCCGGCACCTGGGAGCCGCCTCGCAGAAATTGTTGACTACGAGCTCGGCGGGTACTCGGTGTGTGGTGGCGCGGGGAGGGTGGCGACGAGAGCGGGAGGGGGGAGGCGTGCTGAGCGCTTTGGGCATGAAGTGTTCCCGTCGTCGCCCGTTTCACCCGCAGACCAGTCTTGAGCGCCACGGAGCGCCATGTTTTCCCGCGCCTCGCGTGACGAAGGGGCGTGTTCTCTCGAAGTGTTTGCCGCTCAGATGCGACAGTGTGTGGTGGCGGGGGGAGGGTGGCGACGGGTGCGGGAAGGGGGAGGCGTGTTGTGCGCTTTGAGCAGCAGATCAGTCTTGAGCGCCTCGGAGCGCCATGTTCCCCCACGCCCCGCGTGACGAAAGTGCGTGTTCCCTCGAAGTGCTTGCCTCTCAGATGCGACAGTGTGTGGTGGCGCGGGGAGGGTGGCGACGAGTGCGGGAGGGGGGAGGCGTGCTGAGCGCTTTGAGCATGAAGTGTTCCCGTCGTCGCCCGTTTCACCCGCAGATCAGTCTTGAGCGCCACGGAGCGCCATGTTTTCCCGCGCCTCGCGTGACGAAGGGGCGTGTTCTCTCGAAGTGTTTGCCGCTCAGATGCGACAGTGTGTGGTGGCGGAGGGAGGGTGGCGACGGGTGCAGGAAGGGGGAGGCGTGTTGAGCGCTTTGAGCAGCAGATCAGTCTTGAGCGCCTCTCGGGGCGCCATGTTCCCCCACGCCCCGCGTGACGAAGGGGCGCGTTCTCTCGAAGTGCTTGCCTCTCAGATGCGGCATCGTGTGGTTGCGGGGGAGGGTGGCGACGAGTGCGGGAGGGGGGAGGCGTGCTGAGCGCTTTGAGCATGAAGCGCTCCCGTCGTCGCCCGTTTCTCTCGCAGATCAGTCTTGAGCTCCTCGGGGCGCCATGTTCCCCCACGCCCCGCGTGACGAAGGGGCGTGCTCTCTCGACGTGCTTGCCGCTCAGTTGCGACAGTGTGTGGTAGCGGGGGGAGGGTGGCGACGAGTGCGGGAGGTTGGAAGCGTGCTGAGCGCTTTGAACATGAAGCGCTCTTGAGCGCCGTGACTTCCTACGCCCCGCGTGTTGAAAGGGCGTGTTCTCTCGAAGTGCTTGCCGCTCAGATGCCACAGTGTGTGGTGGCGGGGGGAGGGTGGCGACGAGTGCAGGAGGGGAGAGCATTGAACATGAAGAGATCCCGTCGTCTCCCGTTTCCCCGCCAGATTAGTCTTGAGCGCCACGGAGCGCCATGTTTTCCCGCGCCTCACGCGACGAAAGGGCGTGTGAGGGGGCTGCCGAAACGGGTGGGGGACGTTTGCGAACTTCCCTACTGAGGCCTTCGGTGGAGCTCCCTAGGGGGCCACGAAACGTGAGGGGTGTGCCGACGTGGGTGGTGGGACGCATGCGAACACCGCCATTGGGGCCTCTGGTGGAGTTCCGTAGAAGGCCACGAAGCGTGTGAGGGGTGTGCCGAAATGAAGGGCGGGGACGCATGCGAACACCGCAACTGATGCGTTTGGTAGAGCTCCCCATGGAGCCGCGAAACGTGTGAAGGGTGTGCCGAGCTAGCTGTCGGGGACGCATGCGAACACCACCACTGGGGCCTTCGGTGGAGCGGGCCACGAACCGTGTGAGAGGGGTGCGCCGAAATGGGTGACGGGAACGCAGGTGGACACCAGCATTGGGTCCTTCGGTGGAGGTGCTCACGGAGCTACGAGACGTGTGAGGGGTGTGCCGACATGCATGCAGGAATGCAGTGACGTGACCGCGTCCGCGCGCACAGGCACAGCAAAGAACAGGACGCACCGAGCTCATCCCTGGACCTCGGCTGACTCGAGCAACGCAGCATCCACGCCGGCCGTGCCGAGGCTGGCGCTGCCCTCGTCGAGCTCGGCAGGCACAGAGGGGTCGGGCGTGACGGGGTTCCGGTCGAGCTCCTCGTCGCCGGCGGCGTGGCGCCGTGGCAGCCTCTCGCACTCCTGTACCAGCTCGTCCTGCACAGCGAGCGGTGGCCCGTGCAATGGGCAGGCGGCCGGGTGGTGAGCGTGTGCGAACGGAAAGGGCCCCTGGCGGGCTGCGACGAGTCCCGCGGCATCGCCCTCGGGTGCCACGCCGCAGCGGGTCTCAAGCAGCGCCTCGCGGAGCAGGTGAACACCCTATTACGCCAACCACATGCTGGACGAGCAGCACGGCGCGGTGCCTGGTAATGAAGGGCACCGACTTCGCGGCGCATCAGACATTATTGGACTTCTGCGCCGCCTCGAAGCTCTCGTGCTTCATCTTGGTCTGCTCATCGACTTGGTGAAAGCCTTCGACCGCGTGGTGCGGGAGAACACGCTCGGGTGGCCCCAGACCGCGACCGACTCCGCATCGTAATTGCGCTCGCTCGGGCTGCCCCTGCCTCGGCCAGTTTGATCGCCAAATGGGTCATGGGGCGTGCACCCGAAGGTGATCAGGGCACTGGGCCGCGTGGCCGCCCTGCGCCTGGTGTACGGCGCTGGACCGCGGCCGAGCGACCTCTGAGAGGTGTGTGCCGTGATGAAAGAAGAAAAAACCTTCACAGTGCGTCCCGGTTCTCCTACGGGGACTTGGGCTTCGCTGTCTCCACTCTGCTTGGAGGCCCGCAGGGCTGCAAGTACGGAGCCACCATCTTCGACAGTGCGTTCTCGCTCGCGATGGCCCTCGTGCGCGACGTGCTCATCCAGTGTGGCGTACGTCTACGCCCTGGGGTGGCCGAGTTCTGGAGCGACGGCATCGCCGGTGAACATCTCGACCCAGACGGCCTCCCAGTGCCCGACGCAGCCTTCGTCGACGACGACTGCTTCGGCCTCGTTGCGCGCCGCGAAGTCGACCTGGACCGCGGCATCGACATTCCGTTGCGGACCGTGTGCGATTCATACGCGAAGCTTAACTTGGAGATTAACTGGAGGGCGGGCAAGACATAGTGTTTCCTGACCTACCGCGGCAACTTGGCCTCCGATTGCCTAGAACAACGGCGGGCGCATGCAGACCGAGGCCTGGCGGTGCAGGTCCCCCAGCGCACCACTGGTGGCCGATAGCTACAAGCACCACGGAGGCGTGGTGTGCACAAAGCGGGGCCCTCGGCCCTTTCGCGCAGCACCTCCGCCACCAGGCATCGGCCAGCTACTGGCCGCCGGCATCGAAAGTGTTCGGGTCGCTCGTGGTGCAGGGCCGCGTCAAGCATTGGCTCCTCCCCTCGTTAATCCTCAGCAGCCTGATGTTCCACGCGCACATCGTCGCGCCGTCGCGCCGCTGCACCATGGAACTGAACAACGCGCACATGAGGGCCGCCCGACGTATCGGCAATGCCCCGCGGCACGAACCCACCGAGGCCGACCTACAAGTGAGATTGCGCATGCGCGTGCCCAATATCGATTGCCTCCTCATGGGCTCTCGCCTCCGATCTGTTGCACGCGTCGTTCGCGGGCGGCCCAAAGTGCGGCTTGCCTTGTTGTGCTTGCGTCCCTCGGGCGCGCTACTGCCATGGGTGCGCCTCGTCATCGGCGACACGCAGCGTCTCCGCCGAACTGTCGCCTTCTGCGCGCAGCTCCCCGGCCCCGCCGCGCAGCCCAGCGCCTGGAGTGCCGCGTCCTGACGGCTGGTCGCAAGTTGGCTCGGGCGGCATCGTGCCTCTGCTTCGTGGACCCCCGCTGCGGCGCACCTCCGCGCCTCCAGGTGTGTCCGTCGCCAGGCCGTTCAAGCGCACCACGTGCGACGCATCGTTTGCCTCCAACAAGGCGCGCAGCGCAGCGCGTGCGCATCCGCCGCCACATTCGGTGTGAGCAGCGCCTTTTCGCGAACGGGGGAGGCCATTGCCCTGTTTGCCGTGCCCCTTTGGGCGGCAGTTTGCGCCTCCGCGCCCATGCGATAGCCGTCGCCCAGCGCGCTGGCAGCAGATCCTCTCCAGGCCGTCTGGCGTTGAACCTCTCCGATGTCTTACGTTTGGACGAGGCAAACAGGATCGAGCGTCGTTGCGTTCAGCGCGACTGCCCGTGGCACAGCGCGACTGACCAATCGCTGGGTCGTCGGCCGGACACGACGCTAGCCGTCGCTGAGTCCCCTTGCGCAGCTTGCGCCGCTGTGGCCAGCCACGCCTGCGCAGAGGTGCTCGCGCGCACTCAGCTTCATCACTTGTATCGCCTCGCACATTGTTCCGCGCATTCTATATATAGATACATATATATATATATATACATATATATACATGTATATACGCACCTATGAGCTCGTCTGCACTCGACTGTTTTGTTCACGCGATGCCTCGTGGCGCCTGGCAGCTCGCAGCGGTTCGCGCCTGGAGTTGGTGGTGGACGGCCCCCCCCCAGGAATCGCCGCGCGCGCGCCGAGGCGCGGCGTGCTCGCGCGCGGCAGTGCCCCAACTGCCAGGCTCAAGGTCGCAGCATACACAAACGCTCGGAATGTGTCCTCAATCGCTCCGGCATGGCAGTCGCGAAGGGCGCCGACCTCGTGCCCGGCGCGCCGCCGCCCGAGCTTGCGAGCCCCGTGCGAGCCCAGCTCGGGCAGGTGGCGACTGCGTTGCCACGCTCAGTCCCCGCTGCTCCTGAGCAGCCCGCCCCGCCGGCTGCGCCGCCCACGCCGCCTTCCGAGGCCAAGAGTTCCAAGTCGCGCCTCAGGGCCCTCGGAGGCGACGCCCCGGGCCCTTCCGCAGGGCCCCGCCTGCGCCCCCCCCCCCCCCCGGCGCGCGATCCAGGCGGACGTCGATTCTCTGCGCGAACGGGATGGGCACGGAAAGAATTGGTACGATGCCCAACAGCAGTTCCTGTTCAGTTTGAACAGGACTCGCTGTCTGGGCCGCCGCGGCCTGTGTCCATTTGAGAAAGAAGGCCGCCTGCCCAACAGCGGCCGCTGTTCGTTTGGGACGACACTTGCTGTTGGGCATTGTACCATTCTTTGCGCACCCGTCTCGGGCGCCCCAAGATTCGCTGAAGGAGAGCATCCGCGATGCCAGGCCGCCAGGCGCACGCTTGGACGACGCTCTCCTTGCACGCGCTCAGGCCCGCCGCTCCGACGCCGCCAGCGCTTTCGAGCTGGCTCGGCTCCGGCGGCCATCGCCGCCTCAGACGAGGAGATCCCCGAGGTCTCCGCGAACGTCGAGGAGCTGTAAAGGGACATATCCACTGCGACCGAAATGGACGAGGAGGCCCCCTACGACCCCAATGCGGCCCTGGCCTTCATCACCTCCCATTTCAACGATCTCATCCAGGCCCTCATGGCCGACGCGCACGCCCATCCGCTACATGCCGACACTGCCGGCACGCATGTCGCGGTGCTCACCCAAAACTTCCAGAAGGCCATCGACCTCGCTGCTGCTGCCCGTGCGCCGCAGCGACTGCAAGGGGAACGGCCTCCGCCCGCCGCCGCGTCCGTGCAGGAGAGCATCGCAGCACAGAGGGTGTGCCACAACGCCAAGATGCCCATCGCCAAACAGACCGCCCTCTTCGGCCTCGGCGACGTGCCCGCGAAGAAAGGGGTGACCAAACAAACAAACTGGTGGAGAAGGGGGCCAGCGAAGCTGGCCATCGTCGCTCTACTCCCTCGCGGAACGCCCCGCCCAGAGACAGGGGGAGGAAGCGCAGGGAGGGGTAGGCCCTTCCCCAAATCGGAAGACGAGGTTCGAAGAGGAAACGCCCTGAACCACCGCCCTCCCCAGGCTGGGAGATGGAGGGCGTCGCGTGTCTTTCGCCTTGTTTGCTGAGTTTCAGGGGCGCCCCCGCAAAGGGCTGCTAGAGACCAAAATCGACGAACTGATTTCGAACATCAAGGATCGACGAACATCGACGGCTGATAAACCATTTCGGGTCGATACCCCCCCGAACAAGTACGGTATGTTACCGCCGCGTCGACGCAGCGGCACCCTGGCGCGCGCGTTCACAGCTGAATGCCAGAAGCCTGGAATCGGCCGGAATCTAACGACCTGCGTAATTATAAGCCACGACGGTTCAAGGTTGCACGGTCCGCGCGGTGTCAGAGACCAGCTCCGACGTCGCCCATGCATTCCTCATCGACAAATTGGCAATCTGCGGTGCGCGTTCCCTGGGCGCAGCTAGAGCCTGAGCGCGCGAGAAGCGCGCGTGGTTCTTGAATATCTGTATATATATATATATATATATGTAGACACAGGCGCGCACATAACGGGCGGGACGGGCGGGGCCCCAGGGCCGGAGCCGCGACCGCAAGTGTGTGCGTGTGTGGGTGTGCGTGTGTGCGTGTGCGTGTTTGTGTGGTGTTTGTGTGTGCGTGTGCGTTTGCGTGTGCGTGTGCGTGAACGTGTGCGTGTGCGTGTGCGTGTGCGTTTGCGTGTGCGTGTGCGTGTGCGCGTGCGTGTGCGTGTGCGTTTGCGTGTGCGCGTGTGTGTGTGTGGTTGGTGCGCGTCGAGTGCGTGTGCGTGTGTGCGTGCGTGTGCGTGTGCGTGCGTGTGCGTGCGTGTGCGTGTGCGTGTGTGCGTGCGCGTGTGCGTGTGTATGCGCGTGCGCGTGCGCGCGCGCGCGTGCGTGTGTGGGAGGGTGTACGCATGTGGGTGTACGTGTGTGTGGTGTGCGTGTGTGCGTGTGCGTGTGCGTCTGCGTGTTCGTGTGTGTGTGTGTGCGTGCGTGTGTATGTCTGTGTGTGCGTGCGTACGCGTGCGTGCGTGCGTGCGTGTGGTGTGTGTGCGTGTGCGTTGTGCGTGTTGCGTGTGTGTAGGTACGTGTGTCTGTGTGCGTGCGTGCGTGTGCGTGTCGCGTGTGTCGCGTGCCGCGTGCGCGTGCGTGTGCGTGTGCGGTGTTGTGTGGCGTGTGCGTGTATGTGTGTGTGCGCGCGTGTGTATGTGTGTGTGTGCGCGTGCGCGTGCGTGCGTGCGTGCGTGTGTATGTTTTGTGCCGCTGGGCGTGCGTGTTTGTGAGTGTGTCTGTGTGCGTGGTGCGTGCGTGTGCGCGTGCGTTGTGCGTGTGGAGTGCGTGTGTGTGTGCGTGCGTGCGTGCGTGCGTGTGCGTGTGAGGTGTATGTGTGTGGTGTGCGTGCTGCGTGCGCGTGCGTGCGTGTGCGCGTGCGTGTGTGTGGTTTATGTTTTTGTGCGTGTGCGTGTGCGCGTGCTTGTGCGTGTGCGGTGTGTGTGTTTGCGTTTGCGTGCGTGTTGCGTGTGCGCGTGTGTGTGGCGTGCGTGTGCGTGCGCGTGGCGCTTGCGCGTGCGTGTGCGTGTGCGTGTGCGTGTGTGTTTTTGCGAGTGTTGCGCTGTGCGTGTGCGTGTGCGTGTGCGCGTGCGCGTGTGTTTGTGTGTGTGTGCGTGTGCGTGTGCGTGTGTGTCTTCGCGTGCGTCTTCGCGTGCGTCTTCGTGTGCGTGTGCGTGTACGTGTGCGTGTGCGTGTGCGTGTGCGTGTGCGTGTGTATGTGTGTGCGCGTGCGTGCGCGTGCGTTGTGCGTGCGCGCGCGTGCGTGGCTGTGTGTTCGTGCGTGCGCGTGTGTGCCGTGTGCGTGTGCGTGTGCGTGTGCGTGCGTTCGCGTGCGTGTGCGTGTGCCTGTGCGTTGTCTTGTGCGTGTGCGTGTGCGTGTGCGTGTGTGTGTGAGAGTGTAAGTGCAAGTGGAAGTGTAAGTGTACAAATTTGCGTGGGCGTGCGTGCGTGCGTGCGTGTGTGCACGTGTGTGTGTGTGTGCGTGCGTGCGTGTGTGCGTGTGGGTGCGTGCGTGCGTGCGTGCGTGTGGGTGTGTACGTGTGTGTGCGTGTGCGTGTGCGTGTGCGTGTGCGTGTGTGTGTGTGGTTGGTGCGCGTGCGAGTGCGTGTGCGTGTGCGTGTGCGTGTGCGTGTGCGTGTGCGTGTGCGTGCGTCTGCGTCTGCGTGTGCGAGTGTGTGTGTGTGTGGGTGTGCGTGTGTGTGTCTGTGTGTGTCTGTGTGTGTGTGTGTCTGTATGTCTGTGTGCGTGTGTGCGTGTGTGTTTGTGTGCGTGCGTGCGTGCGTGCGTGCGTGCGTGCGTGCGTGGGTGCGTGGGTGCGTGGGTGCGTGGGTGCACGGGTGCGTTGGTGCGTGGGTGCGTGAGTACGTGGGTGTGTGGGTGTGTGGGTGTGCGGATGTGCGGGTGTGGTGTGTGTGTGCGTGTCTGTGCGTGTGAGTGTCTGTCTGTCTGTCTGTCTGCCTGCCTGTCTGTCTGTCTGCCTGCCTGCCTGCTTGTCTTTCTGTGTGTGTGGCAGGGGCCAGGCCCGCAATTGAGGGGGGCAACGGTCGATTCCAAGAGGACCCCGACAGCCGTCCGGGCAGTCCAAAGCGGCCCCGAGTCACTGCAACGACGCCATCCAGGGGCCTCCGACGGCTCAACATGCGATTCAACGGCCGAAGAGGTGCCCACGACGTTTCGAAACCGCTCCGAGAGGATCCTCCAGAAGGCCCCGAGAAGCAACAATCGCTTTATTATTTGAGGACGGCGTGCATGTTTGATCATTTTCGCCATTTGGGTTTCAAAGCGGTCCGAGACGATCCAAGAGGCTTCCCAAATCGCCCCGAAGTTGCCCCCAAGAGGCCCACAAGAGTCCCATCAGAGGCCCCCAAGAGGCACCCCAGAAAAACCCAAGAGGCCGGGGAGGCCTCCGGGATACGTTGCACCATTTTCAGTGGTTGTCTTTTTGTCCAGGGTGTCTGAGATTTCTTGCTTGGCAAGGCTCGCGCCAAGTAGCACCATTCTCGGTGGCTGCCTGTTTCACAGGGTTTCTGAGACTTCTGTGCGTAGCTTGTGCCAAGTTGCACCGCATGCAGTGGTTGTCTGGCAGCGTCTGGTTGCCACTCAAGCCACCGTTATAAGGCTGCTGCGTGGGTCCGCGGTCCACGAGAGCCACCGCAGGCTGCTGGCGCCCAGCGTTGCCCGCCGAATCGTGCTGTCATCCTTGCCAGCCATCCTCTTCCGACCGGCAACAGCGGGCTAGCGCCAGTGGGTGCCCCCGTAGTTGAAAAGGACGCGTGTGTTCGCAGAACCCTCCCTCCTCCTCCCCCTTCAAGGCGGGGGGGGAGATTGACTGCAGACCACCCTTGTAAAAAGAGGGTTTGGGGATTTCGGACCCACCCCCTTCCCCCCTTTGCACTGGAAGCGGGGGAGGGGGGCGGATTTCGGACCCCCCGCGTCCATGTTTCAAATCAGGGGTTTGGGGTCGACCCCCCCCATGCCCTGGACAGGGGGGCGGGGATGGGGTTCTCCCGCTTCCCTGAAAGGTGCCGGAGATGGTTGCGGGGGCCAGGATAAGGGCGGTTGGGATGAGGGTGAGGGTCTCAGGGTCAGGGTGTTAGGTGTAGGGTGTCAGGGTCAGCGTATCAGAGTTAGGGGGTTTGGGGGTTGGGGTTAGAGTGGCCTGGTTAGGGTTAGGGTGTTCAGGTCAGGGTTAGGGTTGGGGGCCAGTGTTAGGGTTAGGGGGTTAGGGGGTTGGGGTGAGGCTGGTAGTGTTAGGTGGGTTTGGGTCTGGGTTAGGTCTAGGGGGTTCGGGTTAGGGTGTTCGGGCTAGGGCGTTAGAGTTCAGGTTGGGGCATTCGGATTCGGGTGTTTGGGTTCGGGGTAGGGTTCAGGAGTTAGGATTAGGGTGATAGGGTCAGGATATTAGGTCTAGCGGCAGTGGGTCAGTGTTAGGATTCGAGTGGTAGGGTTAGGATGTGAGGTTTATGTTGTTAGGGTTGGGGAGGGGGTCAGGGTTAGAGGTTAGGGTTAGATTAGAAAGCTAGGGGGTTAGGCTTAGGGTGGTAGGGGTAGGTTTAGGGTTAGGTCTAAGGCTAGGGTTATGTGGTTCGGGTTGGGCTGCCGAGGTCAAGGTTCAGGGGGGGAGTGGGGGGGGGGAGTCAGGAGTTAGATTCAGGGGGTCAGGGGTTAGGGTTCGAGGCCACTAGCCCCCCTCGAAGCCCGTTGGACGTATTCCACCACCCATGACCCATGACATACACAACTCAGCGCGCTGACGACCGCGGCGATGCTCTTGTCGGTCAGACGAGACGCCGCATCGCCGATGTGGCGGCGTTGCATCGCCGATTCCAGGTCGTTCCCTCGGAGCCGAGCCCCCGCGTCGAGGCGGCCATGGCAGCGCGGAAACCCAGGGGGCCAGGGTCCAGCCTCCACGCGGTGGCCCTCGGGGACAGGGCTGGACTGAAAAACTGTGTTTTTGTGATTTCGTGGGCCGTGTTCGTTTCGGCTTCGTTTTGCAGCAAAGGCGGATCGGAGGCAAAAGCGGGGGAAAACGAGAACAACACGACAACGAAAAACACCGTTTAGGTTCAGCCCTGCTTGGGGAAGGGTACCAGCGCGGCTCTTGACCCGCAAGGCTCGAGGTCGCGCCCGCACCCTTCGCAGAGGGACATTCTGAACGAACATGTCGCAGAGGTATCGCGAGCATCTCTGCCCAGGGCGCGTGCACTCACCACCTACCAAACCACCCCAACCCAACCCGAAGGCCTCCATTTGCATTCCATTTCCAGGGGGGGGGGGGTCGGGGAACATCGAAAAAACACGCATGGAACCCATACCCCCCCCA